TATTATTATTATTATTATTATTATTATTATTATTATTATTATTATTATTATTATTGTTAGTGGTAGCCACAGCGGCGACAGCCAGTGCCGCTTGAATATGAGCGGCTGCGACTGCTGCTGTTGGCCATATTGATTGCATTGTCAGTTTGTGGGCACTTGCATGAGTGCGGCTGTGCGAATGCGAGTGACTGGGACTGAGGCTGTAATGCGATTGGATTGACGCCACTTGATCAGGCATTATGGGCACAGGTGGACGCAGGAATGGCAAAAATGGCATTAAATTGCTGGGAAGTGAAGCCACTGTATGAAAGTGATGCTGATGATGCTGCTGTTGATGCTGCACAGTGAATCCTCCTGCGCCGTATTTGGCACTCAGCTGCTGATGTAACTCCTGCAGGCAGCTCTCCTGTTGCATCCGTTGCACGTTCTGCAACTGCTGTTGCTGCTGCTGTTGTTGTATATTCGATTCAATGTCAGTCATGTCTTCGAACTGTGCCTGCAACAATAATCACACAAAAAGTAGGTACCTTTCTGTCTATGAAAGCATACTTATACACATACATATTCCTATACTGTAGATACGTGTAAGCTACATAAACTTTGCGTCATCATATTGTATCTCATATTTTGATAAAAAAAAATTTCTTTAATAGTTACCCGGAAGGCCGAAGGATAAGTATCAGACATCAGAAAGCATATTAATTCTTGGTCAGACATAAGTCACAGGTCATATCATTTTATTGTATTGATAAAAATCGTTCACAAAATCGAACACTCTCGCCTAGAGAAGTCTTATTTGACACAATTTTGTCGCGCTGGATGAAGAGATTGTGATAGAGAGAGAGCGAGAGAGAGAGAGCGAGAGATAGAGAGAGCGAGAGAGAGAGACAGCGAGAAAGAGAGAGAGAGAGAGAGAGGGCGGGGAGAGAGAGGATTAAATACGAACTAAGTTTCTCAACAGTATCCCAATTTAATATTACAAACTAATTGGCCCTGAAGCCATTCGAAATGGGAAATAAAGTTTATGTATTATTGATCAGAGTGAAGCTTGAAATTTGCATACTCATTCACGAAAGTGAAATGAGAATATTAGTTTTGTGCAATGTCCGTCTGTCCGTATGAACGCAGTTTATTTTGGCGCTAGTGAAGCTAGAGATTTGAAATTTGGAACACATACTTGTGTATGTATGAAATTCTCCTGATCCGCACACTGGAGGCGTGGCAAATAAAAAAATGCATTTTCCGATACACCAAAAATCATATTGGCTGTAGAGCTAGAAAGCAGAATTTTGGAATATAGATCCGCGTCGACCCAAGATCACGAACTATGGCGTATATGTCTACGCCCATTTTGCACATAAATTTTGCACGCTGAAATTTTGCACGTAAGCTAATGTTATGATTCTATAAAGATATATGAAAATATTAGGTCTTCGCCCTTTGAGGGCGTGGCATAGCGGACCTGAAGATATAGTGATTTTTCAAATTCAGCTACACAATTGATCTAGAGAACTCGAATGTGGTATATATATTCGGGCTGACCTCCCAAGACGAAAGCTTTGGCGGATATTTGTCCGCCCATAGGCGGAGTGGCAAACTACAAAAGTTTATATCTCCTAAAGAATAATAACTAGGAGCTTCAAATTTAGATAGTTAAGTTACTAGTAACCTCCTCTATCGTTTTCCTAAAAATATTGTTACGCCTCTTTAGGTGCGTGGGATATAAAAAAATACACTGTAATTTTCTCATTTTTGTGCGGAAGCATCCAAATTTTGCAATATACATATATAGAGATATATAATAAGATGCATTTTATAGAATTCCGATTTTCGTTCAAATTTACCCCCCACCTTTACGTCCACCCCCTCACCCTCATCTTTGTAAAAGGCGTAACTGTGCTTACATTTAAGCATCATGTTTACGTTCTGAAAGTTTCATTATGATTGTACGTCTAGAGCTATCAGCTAAAAAATTATATCTCACATCCTTAAAGCTAGAGTGTCCAAATTTTAAATATATATTAAAGCGCATTTTATACAATTTCGGTTTTTGTTAAAATGTAAAAGTCGTATATTGAGCGCAGCCCAAGCGTAATCGCCTGTATATGTGTGTGTGTGGGCTTGTGTGTGTGTGCGAATTATTATTGAAATATCTTTTAAGATTCTAACGGGAACTAACGGTAGCGAGGGGGTCTTAAAAGCACTTTCTATATGATTGAATGTCTACAGATAAAATCCATATTTTGTGTTAAATCACTTGTCACTAACTTGAAAAACAATTATTTGTAGTAAAGCTAATGACTCGTCATAAGCTACATTCGAACGTATAGAATACCGACATAATAATGACCCGCAGATCCTATGTCGACTGAGAAACAGGTACACACGTATCTGGGAAGAATGTATATGTAGCTGAACGTGTTTGTGTGCGTTTTTGCGTACTTGGAAGTAAATGTAATCGTCAATTGTGTCCCGACTTGGTCTTCGTGTGACGGGAAGCACCTCGCGTGAGCTCCTCACGTGATTGGCTGAAACGGTGAAGTTGGTTCAGTTCCAGTTGCTGATGCTTTTGTCTTTCCACACTGACGCGAGCGACAGTGAGACGAGCCGCGCCTCCGTTTAAAACCGAACCTTGCGTGCGCAAGCCAACACTTAAATCAAAGACGGAGCCAAAACAATTTACGTCGTGCCCTTAACTTGTGCTGCGGTAATGCTCTCTATGTTACCTTCTGCTTTCCACAGCGTCCGAGCTCCGTAAGCTTTCGGCAAACACACTCGCACTCGCACTCGCTGTGGCATTCGTATTCGCATTCGTGTTAAAGTTTACTATTACCATCGACACATCGCAGAGAACTGATACCGACAACACACAAATTTTGTTGCTCTGATAAAGCATTTGAATTTTCTTGGTATCTGCTTTCTGCGCATGCCCTGCTTGTGGGAGTCAACGAAAGAGAGGAGACAGAGAAACAGAAAGAGAAATAGATAGGAAAAGAGACTCTCTTTCATACACAGCCTTTAAGTGTATACAGACTACTAGCTTGTTGAATTTTAGTTTACAGATTCTAAATAAGTACAAGAGTCCGAGGTCCGTTTGTATGTTGGTTTAATGTATTCATAGTCTTATGGAGAAAGGAAGAGAGTGCGAGAGAGATAGTTAGAGAGAGACAGACATATATACATATATGTATATATATAGAAGCTAAGAAGGTGCGCATGGGCGTGCATTTAATGTTTGGTACGCGATTTCATTGCGCATACATACATTGTTGCACGAATTACAACCATTCGTTCGTTTTTTTGACATTCTGGGTATATGGTTGGTGGTGCATATATACATATACATATATATATATATATATATATATAGCAGTATACATGACTATAACTGTTCTACATATAGATATAGAAATAAATGTTCATTCACATATTATATACATACATACATACGTATGTTGGTATATGCTTTGTATGCGCGACGTTTTGTACACAATCTTCTGGAGAATAGAACAAAAAACAAAAACGACAACATGAAGGAAAACATTTACGTTGTTCCGTCCCACCCAGCTCAAAAATCAATAGAATGCGACTGCGAGTCAGCGCGAATGCGAGAACATCAACGGTACAAAGGGCATTGTTTCATACAATACGAAGCTGAAACTGAACCTGGAAGCTCCTCCCATTATCGTGGAGAGGCCGAGGTAACCCTAGATACGCCAATAGCGGTGGGTAATGCCTTGCTCGTCTCAGCCAATTGTCTCGTCAATTATTTTTCACTGTGTCCACATTGCATTTCGGTTGGCTGAGAGCGAGCGAGGGAGAGCCATACAAAACTCTCTTAAACATCTATGTACATACATATATGCATATATATATATATATATACCAATTTATATGGATGTGTGCGTACGTACAAATAATACAAATGGGTACTTGCAGGTTTGTATTAGGTTTACAAATGATTCTTTCCGACACATACGCACACAGGCACACCCACATAAAGTACATTCCTCATATCATAGACAATACAAATACTCAAAAACGAATCATGCTGAATTTTTCTTGTTATGCTGTTAGCGGCTTACACTATATTCCGTAGATCGTATGCGGTCAGATCGATTAGTATTTTATATTAATTTCCTACATTTCCTACATAGGCCCACTGCAATGCACCAATATCTAGCAATGTATGTATGAATGCGGCGATCTCAAGTAAATCTATGACCTCGCACATATTCAGAAACGTATGCAATGGCATTCAATACATTTTTAGAACAAGTGCCGGAAACTATAATATATAATTTCCTCTACCAGCCCATAACTAACAAGTAAGAAAACTCTAGTCGGGATGCCGGATACCCTGAACTTCACCTGATCTGAGGTTTGTCACAAAAAAAATGCGATTGAAAACGGTAACAATCATCGAAATTCTAAACAGCGCGGCCTGTTTGGTCTCATCAGGAATATATACTTGATAGGGTTTGACTTCCAAATCTTTAATTGGTTTAGGGTACACAAAAAAGAAAATTCTGGTCGGGGTTGCTTGACAAGGGGGTCTCTCTAGACCCCCCAATCTAAGCCAAATGAACCCGTTTTTGTGTTTATAAAACCAGAAAAAAAAAACTGACAGGCTGACAGTTACATACATTTTAATAAAACCATTATACACTGGTTTTCTATTTTTACTTACATACCTTTTAATAAAACCATTATACATTGCTTTCACATTTCTAGTGGACTTGGGCTATAATAAGTAACACTACTTTATTTAAGACTGATCGACTAGGGTAATGTTAAAATTTATGGAGCATATATTTTTGACCGGGTAAACTTAGCTAAGTTGCTGTCTATTTACGTCTTAACGCGATTTCCAGTTTTTTGTTAGAATGTCTCATAAATTTTAATATACATACGTGTTTTCAAGAATTTTCATTATACTCATTCACGAAGTGAATTAGTATATTGGTTTCGTGCAATGTCCGTCTTGCTGTCCGTCCGTCTGTCCGTCCGCCCGTCTGTCCGTCTGTCCGTATGAACGCAGTTCATTTCGCCGCTATTGAAGCTAGAGACTTGAAATTTGGAACACATACTCGTGTATAACTCCGATTTATCGAAAAATACCCTGTAATTTTCACATTTTTTTAGCGTAAGCATTCAAATTTACGTTACCGTTAGCTCTCTCTAAGAACTGGCCAAAAATTAGGTGTCTACGGCCACTAGGAGCGTGGCAATCGGCATTTGTAGTATCAAATTGCGACATGTACATATATGCTTGAGCTATCTATGTATGTACATGTATGTACAAATAGGGTTAATAGGC